CTCCTGTATTCTCTTGCCTTATTTGATCCCCCACCTGCGACGTGAACAACATCCCCCGTTTGTCCTGATCACCCTCCAGCCACTACCAACTGAGCCACTTCCCATTCTCCTATACTTTCCAGACCCTTTTGCTTGCATCAGTGCGCGCTAGAGCCCATATCACGGCGATCCTAATCACGTCTTATTAGCCTGGGGTTCCGTTCACCCTCAAAACCTGTGGTTGTAACTGTTCTGTGTACGTTTCGGATGTGCGCAGGGGTTCGGACGTGGACTGACGGCCTCTAGTACGTACCGTCACCATCTCGGGTCTCTCCACCGACACACCTCGCAAAGACTAGTGATTCAATCACTCGAGTCTGTACGGTCGTTGCGACCATTGCAGTATGGCGACCGTTATCAAGACTGACCCCGGCATGGGGGACTACCATAGTGGCAGTGGTGAGTGCGCTTTTACATTCCGTCATGCTTGTTCCTTTCGCGTTTGAGATCGAAGCGTTTGAGCTGCGATTCGCGCCTCATGCTGTCTCCATCTACCCGTGCGGCCTCGCATCCTTTGTCATCCGTCCAGGCATCTGATGGCCCGCCCTCTCTCAAAAATGCGACTACGCTGCAGAGACAAGTCAGGTCTCGCCAAGATCCTCTCGACAGGCGTCAGCATGAGATGTGTGGGCGTGCCCCACGTCCTCCGCTCCAACGAGCGTGGGCATCCATGCGCTCGTTCAGCGTACCATAAGGCAGCGCACGTCTACATATATGCGCCTACGTCTCTGGTCTCTGGCGAGATCATATCGCACAATTTTTCTGTAATTTCTTAAACATCCTAACGGCCGCTTCCTAATTATGTCAAATTTAATTTATAAGTCCTGGTCAGACTCGCTAATCATGATGCCCGGCATCTCTCCAAGCGGCACGGCTGTCGAGTATCCCTCTCCTGTATCCCGTCGGCCTTCTTTATGTCCGTCGGATGGATATAGGAGGGACAGCTCGGTTGGCCTTGTGTCTGCTGTGGAGAGTAGAGGGCAATGGTCGTCAATAGGCAGTGAATCAAAAAGCCCGCTTGCTCAGTTTGGTTTCTTCAAGAACCTTACCGAAAAGAAGACAACAAGAGGTTTGTGCAACGTTGGGTACTTTGAGTTATTGGCTGACATTATGGAGATGGTCAACCTCCCAAAAGAAGAGGTCCCAAGCCGGACAGCAAACCGGCTATGACCAGACGACAGGAGTTGAACCGACAAGCTCAACGGTACGTCTGCATCTTAGAAGACGAAGCAAGTTCGCTCATCAGGTCTACAGAACACATCGCGAGAGGAAAGAAATGTACATCAAAGCACTGGAGCAGGAAGTGCTCCGCTTGAAGGAGACATTCGGCACCACAACTCGCGAACGAGATCAGTTTGCCGAGGAGAACCGCCGACTGAGGGAGTTGCTTATGGCTCATGGCATCGCTTTCGACAGCATTGCCAGCCCTTCAAATGGCCTTTCTGTCAATCTCGCAAGCTCGGCGTACAGCTCGACCGGCAGCGTATCTGGCTACGGACCTGGTTCCGTATCAACGGGCTACACCTCTCCACCGAGCGTTCACCAGAGGAACGGATCGATTTCGCAGGACATGATGATGCCTTCAGGGATGCATACTCAAGCTATGCAGCCAAGTCAACAAGTCAGCGGACTGGACTACGACCAGATCGGCGTTGACTTCGTCTTAACGTACGACCGAACGCCCTATCTTTCTCCTCCACCCCAACAATAATGTATCACGCCCGCTACGTCACTCCTTTTCCTTCGTTCATTATCCGCCGTACGTCATATTTCTTTAGCTTGATCGCTCTTTATCTGACTGTAGGGCCTGGCAGTCTCGAGCGCCCCTGTATGGACCACATGCAGTTCCTCATGGTACGAGCCCATGATGCCGAAGAAACGATTAGCGGTCACGCACTCATGGCGACGGCGCCACCCGACTCGCACATTGCGAATCACCCCGAGGAGAAATACCCTCACCAGATGCCCGACGTGGCGATGCCAGATCTCATGAAGCTGCTCGACCTCAGCGCCAGGCTGCCCCTCGATGGCGAGATCACGCCCATCATGGCCTGGGTCATGATCTTGAAGGACTCGAACTTCAAGACGCTCACTAAAGAGGAGTTTGGCGCTATCAAAGGGGAGCTGCTCGCCAAGGTGCGCTGCTACGGGTAAGTCTTCCAAGCGCGTCTGGTTGAGCACGCACGAACACGCGCTGACAATGCCATAGCTTCGGCGCCGTTCTCGAAGAGTTCGAGGTGCGCGACGCACTGATGAATGCTCTTGCCGGAAGGGCCAATGTCGGCTGATGGAGCGCGCATATGATTGAAATGTCCAATTTTGTTCAAGATTCCGAACAGCAGCACTTCGGTGTAGTAATCAATGTAATTCGGCAATATAATTCCATCATAAATCTACTGTTCCTGTTATGCACGAGTGTGGAGCTGCAGCGGTCTTGCAGAAGCTCTTGCAGGGGCTGACTGGACCCTGCGGCGGGGTCGCGCCACGACTGTCGCAATGGCCTCATGCTAAACACCGACCTGGCGGTGCTCATCTTGAAACCCCTGGTTCTGATTTAAACACTAAGATCTCCTCTCCCCCCAGATTTGAAGATACTGTGACCCCCTCGAAGATACCTCGTTTTCTGGTATTGCCCTGAGCGTCCCCGTCCTCTGAAACTTGCATACACCGCCCAGCATGGCCGAACTCGCCGTCTTCGACAAAGACCCCAACATCTACCTCTTTACCTCCCTGACCGCTGGCTCCTCACACATTATCACAGCGACCTCGCGCATCGAAACAATTCTGAGAGCAAACAAGATCCCCTTTATCGGCCTCGACACGGCAACACATGAGCTAGGCAAGAAGCTGTTTCAACGGCGAGCAGCTGGCAAGAAGCTCCCGCTGCTTGTCAAGGAAGGATACGTGCTTGGTGTAAGCAGAACTGAGACATTGCGTGCAAGGTGCTTACTGACCGCTTCCTACAGGGCATCGAGGAAATCGAAGAATGGAACGAGTACGATGAGCTGCACGAAGCCCTGGGCGTCGACACCGCCTTCACCGCCAACCCTCCCAAAGCCACCTCCCTCTTCGAGCCCGCGCCGAGCAAAACACCGCCGCCACTCGCCGATGCACTGCCTGGCGGCTTCTCGTTTGGGCAGTCAGCCGGTCCTGCCTTCGGGTCCCTGAACGCCCCGACCAAAGCAAGTGCCGCGAGCAAGGCGAAGGAGAACACACCCGTTGCGAGTGCCGAGCAGAATCTCGCAATACGACAAATGGGCGCTGAAGCAGCTAAGATCGCCGCGAGCAAGAAGTCTGTCCCGGTCAAGATCTCGACCACAAATCCTCTGTTGGCGGAGAAGACGAATGCGAAGAGCCCCGCCGACGTAACGAGCCCGAAGTCTACGCCGCTGCCGATGTCGCCAGACGCTGCTACGTCGGATAAGGTTGAAGATGCCAAGAAGACTGCGCTGCCAGAGGTTCTCTCTCCGCGCGAGATACCGCTGCCTGAGACACCTGGCGTGGCGCCGCTGTTGAAACAGCAGAAGCCCGTCCAGGCAGCACCTTCCATGCATGACGATGCCGGGAATGCCGCGCTCTCAGCCGGGCCTATAAAGACTACGCAAGCAAAGGAAGAGAGCTCGGAGGAAGAAGGAGACAGCAATGATGAGGAGAGCAGCGAGAGTGCAGCGGAGAAGACACAAAAGCAGGACCCCAAGGACGCAAGCAAAGCGGGCGTCAGCGTCAAGGAGGGCGAGCAGGATGCGGACAGCAAGGAGCAGAAGAAGAGTGAAGACTCGGTCAAGGCTGTAGTCGAGGAAAAGAAGGAGACGCCAGCCCCCGCGGCGCAGCCGAAGCAGAGCAGCAGTGAGGAGACAAGTGAGGACGACGAAGAGGATGAGGACGAAGACGAGGAGAGCGAAGAGGAGGCAAAGAAGGAGGCAGCAGTGAAAGAGGATGCGAAGAAGGAAGAAGAGAACAAGGAGGATACAAAGAAGGGAAACACGGAGGCGAAGTCAGCAACACCGAAGAACGATGAGGCAGCAAAAGACGAGGTGGAGAAGACACAGACTCAAGCCGCCAAAGACGCTTCCAAGACTGGCGAGAGTGTGCTCGATTAGTCTGGCAGTCGGCGAGATTAACTCTTGTGTATAGTTCTGTTGCGAGACCCTGGGTTTTCTAGCGAGCATGTTCTGGCGATACTAGCATTGCAATCAAGAATTAATTCAGTACTGTGCAGACTGTCGTGGTCGCTGGCAGCGTGAGATCCGGGAACCGCATGTTGTGCTTTTCCAAGACTCGATCGCTCAACGTCGTGAACGTTGGCAGTCCTGTGGAAAGATAGGCACAAAGCAAGAGATGCTCCAACATTGACAGCCCTTTGGCACTACTAGAAGCGTGCCGACGTGATTACCAAGCCCTAATTACTGTTTCGATCAGGCACAGGCAGAAATAAGTGCCACTTCGGACGGATGCCATAGCGATGCACTCAGCAAACCCCACAGACCACGTGAGGAGAGACAAGACGCCCGCCCTCAGTGTATGGCTTTCGGTAGCAGCGACAACCAACCCTACGCTTCGGCCGGAGAATCGACTCCTTCACGGGGTCCTGCACTCCAGCTTGGAAGAGACTCCAGGGGCAAGAAAAGTCATTTGCGAGTCCCCGGCGATTTGCACATTTCGAACCAGAATCCGTGCTTGGATCCGGTCGCTGTGGTCATTGATTGTTGCTGGTGACAGCGTACCCAACGGGCCAAAAAAAAAGAAGGCCACCACACACAAACACCATAACAGCGCACAAACCCCTCGACTTTCAGATAATTGTGATGCAACAGTCTGAACAATACTTCGATTCCAAATCCAGCCGCAGCTGTCCTGGGGCCGGTCGTTGTTGGGGGCTGCACATTCCACACTCCGGCCAAAAACCAACCCCCTTCACCGGACCTCCCTTAGGAGCATAAGCCGGTAAAAAAGAATGATGACTCTCCGACGGGGAATCGAACCCCGGTCTCCCGCGCTTGTTAAGACTGATGTCTTTGACAAGCGGAAATCATGACCACTAGACCATCGAAGATATTCCAACTAAAGGTAGTTGGGATGGTGGTTTGATGAATGTTCTGGAAACGGTTATGATTATGATCTTGTACAATGCAAAAGCAGGGCTGTGTATAATCCTTGTCTTCTCGTAGATGCATCATCAACGTATTTCTTCTGGGTCGGTGAAAGATTGTGGGTCTGGACTCCGTGGGCGTTCGCTTGTTGCCGTTACGGTTCCACATGTGTATTGTACTGTGCGATGGATCTGTCTATAGCACAGAGATAAATAAATCGTTCGTTGCTACCTACTTGGACATAGGACTGGATATCAGACTACAATCCGAGATCAAAGCATCAACTCCTCAAGCCACAGGCCCATCCACCTTACTCCCCGCCTTCTCGGGCGCGCCCTGCCCGGAGCCCACAGAACCCTCGCGCTGGACATTCACGCCCTCAAGAATCTGCTGCTCATCCCCCAACATCATATGCGCCACGTTCACCTTCGGCCCCTTAAACCACTTCCGCGCAGACACAACCCACCAAATGCAAACCAGCAGCATCGGCACCCCGTACACCACACACGTCCAATTCATGACATCCGCGTGCAGGTCTGCGCCGGTGACGCTGGGGAAGCAGAGGATGGGCACCATGAGGATGACGAAGGCGGAGGCCACGGAGCCCGTGGGGATCGAGTAGCGGCCTAGATTCCAGGGCCCCGGGCGGAATCGGTGCCCGACGAAGAAGACGCGGATGAAGATGGGGATTGTGAAGGCGCTGGAGGAGATTGTTAGCTTATTCAACAAGGTAAGGGATGGTGCGTGGACGGAGTTTGACTTACACAAAAGCTGCAATGGCGCCGATGCTGAACAGCGCCCCGATCGCGAGCTCACCGCCGAAGATCAGGAGTAGCATGATGCAGCCGACTCCGGTGTTCAGCCACACAGCGTTCACAGGTGTCTGGGTGTGCCTGTTGACCTGCTTCCAGACACTGCTAAGCGGGAAGCAGTCATCACGAGCATAGGCGAAGGTGACTCGACTGGCGGCGATCATGCAGCCTTGGCCCATAAAGAACCCAGCCACGATAGTGAGCGCCAGAACTGCGAGCGCCATTTTCTGGGTCATGCACTGCACCAGGTACGCGGCGAACGGCTGGCCCAGATCCGACTCCAGGACGCTGTCGATGTCGACGACGGTGTAGGCGACGACGAGCTGCAGGAACCAGCCGAAGATGCCGCCAGTCGCGGAGGTGAGCACGATGGCGCGCGGCGCGGCAATGTTGGCATTAGAGCACTCTTCTGCAAGGTGGAAGGCGCTGTCGTAGCCGCTCATGGTCCAGATGACGCCGATGAAGCTCATCAGCACGGAAATGCCTGCTGGGAATGAGGTGCCCTCGTAGATGGTGCCCCAGACTTTATCAGAGGAGGTGAATCTCGGGAGCCCGCGCGATTCGCGGTCGGTGCCGGCTGGAATCAGGATGATGACTACGAGGAGGGCGATGAAGTTGAAGGTTGAGCCGCCGGAATTGATCTTTGCTAGCCATCGAGTTGGGAGTGAAGACATGATGGCATGAATGATCATAATGAAGACGGTGAGTAGAAAGGTTTGGTACTCGGTAGGGACATACGAAGGGTCGTGGATGGAGGCTGCGGCGAGGATCATGGCCGAGGTACCGTAGTTCACTGATTCCAACGTTAGTCCACAGCAGTCGATATAAAATCCACCGTCAGGTATACTCACCGGATGGCGCCGCAGTGACCTGAGAAAGCCAATTGCTCCACCCTGTGATCCACGCCGCAAACGGTCCCCAGCCTTGCGGCGCCAGAACTGCTGAAGCATAGTAGAGCCCGCCGCTGGTGGGCATAGAGCTACAAAGCTCCGCCATACTGCATGCCACACACTGGATCCCGATCATCGCTATCATCCATCCCCAAACCATGCCTGATCCAGTCAGCCCATATCGATCCTGTGGAAAGACACCAAACATACCAGCTGTCCCGGCATAGCCCATGCCATAGTACAATGTACTCGCAAAACTCGGCAGCAGGCCCAGCACCGCGAAGCTCACGCAGAAGGTTGTGAACAAACTGAACTCTCGCTTGAATTCACTTTTATAACCCAGCGCCGCCAGCACCTCTTCATCTGGATTGAACTCATGGGTCGGATCGTACGGGACATCACCTCCAGGCAGGACGCTTGTAACGGGCTCGTCCGCGACGCTGTGTTTGTGCGTCGATGACATAACTCAGCATTCGCAGTGTGTCCAATGGTGTCAGTATCTGGCTGAAGAACAACGTAAGTGCCAGTCAAACGGGCACAAGGCACAAAGCAAGTAGGCTCTTGCAAACAACAAGATTAGATGGATTTGTGCAGCGGGACAGGCCAGCGACGTCGGCATCCGTTATATCAAGCTCACTTGCTAATCTTGCCCCCAACCCGAACCTTGGAATCGGGATGCCAGCCACGAGCGGGGATCGCGAACCGCCGCTCTTTCGCAACCAACAGTGCATGGCGAGAGCGCGACACATGTGCGCCTATCTACCATCATTTACTGGGTACAGCGTAGACTTGCCGCGTTAGGGGTTTGTGCAGCGAATGAGGTGTGTATGCCTATCTCTTTATCAGGGGTGACGAGGATAGCTAGCCGAGAGTGTGGGGAAGGCTTGCGCGCCGGAGTGGCAAGAACGAACGTTGGATGTATCAGACACTCAACGCAGCTAGACGTACTTTTGTGACTGTAGAGTAATGGGATGCTATTTTATAAATACAGGCTTGAAAAGGGTCATTTGGAAGCTTGAAGCGGTATCGATCTCTCGCTGTCAGGATGTTACGTGATGTTGATTGTTACAGTCCTGATACGGAATCCCTCCGGTATCTACAGGCTAAGCATTAAAACCCAGGCTGATCGCATTCCGTCGCGCGAGGACTTACTGAAATGGGATTGGGTTCTGACTTCTGCGACGGTCCTTCCCGTGATATGGAACTGGTAATACCCACCCCATGCACGACAACGTACGCAGGTAAGCATATCGACCATCACTTAGAGAGGCAGCGTGAAGAGCGTCAAGCACTCGTGGGGGTATATTATAGTCATGTTATTGCTGTTGTGTACAGTCCCTCGTCCGGCGGAGACTGTAGAATCCAAAACTTTTGACAGACGCGAATGCCGTGTCGTCCGAAAGTTGGCGACAACGAAGGACAGACACTACTTCAGTAGTAGCTGCTACTCGTAGACTGCACGGGGAACGCTCCCGGAGCTGTCCTCTGATCCTCGTCTGCGCTATCTTCTTCGTCACCTTCGAAAGCTTCGCTGGGGTCTGGAGGTGCTCTCATGCGAATGAGCGAGTCCTCGTCGAGAGCTGGAACAATCCACATCTTTGGTGTGTGATACTCCCGACCAGATGGCATGCTTGCAAGCAATGGCTCTGAAGGCGGTACTAGCTGAACGCCCACCTGAAGTTTGTGTTAGCAGACCTTCACCTCTATTTTTGGACGACCTACTGTATCATTCATCTTCTCCCACTTCTTCAATAGCATGTCTACTATGCGGCCCTCCTCGAATTTACCTGCGTCAGTGCCCCACCCTTCTCCCTTCTCGATCTTGCGGTCCTCTTTCTTCTCTTGGAACTCCTTCTTGAGTTTCGAAAAGCCGAATGACTTCTTCTCATGGTCTGCACCCGAAGATACAAACCCCAGTTCTTTCCTCGCGCCGCGCAACCAAGCGATACCCTCACCAGTCTTGCCTCCAGCTTCAGAGTCGCATGCCAGGAATCGACATGCCTTGCCCTTGGCTGTCCTTCGTAAATCGTCGACATACTTGATCAGGTCATCGCTGACTTTTGAGGAGCGACCAAGCATGGCTTGGGCTTTGGCGGCGTGTTCCGAGGACGCAAGACATAACCGTGCGAACAAATGTGCGCGGACCTTGGGTATCTCTACTCCTCTAAACATCCAGTCCTTGCTATCCTTGTTCCTATCTTCAATCACAACAGCCGGATACGGGTCGTCTTTCAGAACCGTGATCAATGTCGCCTCAGCCATAGTAAGCTCAGCCAGAGCGCCCATAACAGCGACCGTAATGTCTATGGCTGCAGGCTGAGAGTGCCATTGCCCTGCCCTGTTGACTAGATATGTGTGTACCGAATTGGCATCAAGAAAGTGTTTCATTGCGGCTCCAATCGCGGTTGCGCGTTGCTCGGGGCTCGGAAGCGTGGCATTGTAAAGAGTGTGTAGCTGCGCTCGAGCTTGCAGACTGTAGACGTATGCTAATGTCGACAGCACAAAGCAAAGCTCACTCTCCAGACTCTTGAGCTTGATCCGTGCCGGTTCGCGACCCGGTATCGAAGTACCAAGTGTTGACCGCCATTCGACTTCCAGCTCTTTGACCAGGACCAGGTCGATCTCCTCTCCGGCGCACGCAGTACCGCTCAGACCAGCGTCTAATGCGAAGAGGAAAGGTATGTAATCATTGAGCGCCGAGAGTACGGTTGAGAGGTTCGAGGCTTGCGAGGAAGGAGGAATGCGCTTATGGCGTTTCAGGACATCGCGAAGCACGCCTCGGGCTGTGGTTGCGCAATTCGGTAGGGAAGGATGTGTGCCGCTGCTGAAGTAGTCGGGAAATGATACACTGGAGGTGGTCGGTAATGCGAAAGGAAAAGGCATCTTGAAGTGCGTTGTTTACGGAATGATGCAGGTACCCCAGCTATGGTGGGGTCCCGAGACGCTAGTCTTGGCCGCATCATGTGGGCTTGGGGATGTTCAAATCAGCTACCAACTATTTTGCATTGTCAGCGGCTGCAAACGAGTAGTATTCGAGACACATAAGATGCGTTGTGGGTGTTTTGTAGCTTGTGTCAAACCAAATCATGCATGTTCATCCTCTTTATCTGCCAGGTATATGTACAGGTCTGCTTCTGCAGAATGACATGCGCAACCTCCGGCCATACTGCTTGTCAAATGACAAGATCCGTGTCTTTGTGAGCGCTTGGGCCACAGTTGGTCTTCACGCGCATCTCTTCCCCGGCCGTCCATTCGTCGTGC